TGGCCTTACTACTAGGAGCAAGGACGCTACTAGGGGCTCCTGGCCTTGCTACTAGAAACAAGAAGTTACTAGTAGAAATCCTTCGTCCTTTGCGTCCGGTCTCCACCCGGTGAACTCCGAGGAGCCGGCCCGCTTCAGGGAAGGTGGAGCTGAAGGAGGAGCCGGCCGAGCTTCAGGGGCAGCGAGCTTTGGGCCACCGGGCGAACCCCAAATCACCCAAATCAGGGGGGAGAGATGGGACACGTGGTGACCCATGTTGCGAACCTTCCGAAGCGATGTCCGGTGTCGTGCTCCATCAGACGAGACCCTTTTTGCTTGAGGTTTGGGGTCGTTTTGGCCATGGGCTATGACTAACTCATACACCGGGAAGACCATCTAGATGGGTCAAATCCATGTGCTGCTCGGTCCGGTGAAAAATACCTCGCCTCATACTCACAAGCTCAGACAAGCTCAGACTAGATCTAGTTTGGCATTTGTTTCAGTCATGTTAGAGTAGTGGAGGACCATGCCCCATCCCATATGGGATAAGATATATAATATATATATTCACCCCCCAATAAATCCCACAAGGGTAAGCGTGTGGCATGGTCCTCCACTACTCTTACACCTTCCACCATCTGGGGATCACTTCGCTTCACTGAGCTGCGAGGAGGCTCTTCGTAGCCGGGGCCCACAGAGGAGGTCGCACTGAGTCCACACTGAACCGCCCCGTGCTGACAACGTTCTGAGAGGCTACTGCTGGTCGACTGCTCAAATGTGGGGCTCCCATGTCCACAGTGAAAGATCGACTTGCAACAACTTGTTTAAGCAATCTACTGGGGACGCTACTAGGGGCTCCTGGCATCGCTACTAGGAGTAGGGGCTCCTGGCCTTGCTACTACGGACGCTACTAGGGGCTCCTGGCATCGTTACTAGGAGCATGGACGCTACTAGGGGCTCCTGGCCTGGCTACTAGGAGCAAGGGCGCTACTAGGGGCTCCTGGCATCGTTACTAGGAGCATGGACGCTACTAGGGGCTCCTGGCCTGGCTACTAGGAGCAAGGGCGCTACTAGGGGCTCCTGGCATCGCTACTAGGAGCATGGACGCTACTAGGGGCTCCTGGCCTTACTACTAGGAGCAAGGACGCTACTAGGGGCTCCTGGCCTTACTACGCTACTAGGAGCAAAGGGTTGGCATACAAATTCAGTGCTTTGATTGACCCGCAGGCTCCACGTCTGTGGCATTCACCTTCTTTTCTGCCTTAAATATGTTCCAGAATACACGTGTGTCTCAACAAAGCAGTCCTCAATTGGCCAGAAACCAGTGTTTGGACTTGGGGATGTTTGTTTGACTCCTGCCAGATGTATGTGGCTCTGAATGTTTAGAGAACAAGTGCCAACCAGGGGTAGTAATGCTGTTATTGCCCCATGGTGTCGGTTTTCTTCGAAAGTTTACGCTTGAATGTCATGAACATGGCGACTTATTGCATCGCATTGAATCTGAATAGGGTTTGTCAAGGTTTGTCATTGCCTGGTGCCAAGCTCTTTCCAAACGGGCGACCTCAATGGGTGGCACCGTTCTCAGGTCGCCCGACCACGGGTCGCCCACCCACCGGGGGCTAGGGCCCCAGGAGGGGGGGGGCGCCAGGTGCTCACTCGAACTTGGACACGCTCTTCATAGATTCATGGGATTTAAATGGATTTAAAGGCTTCGAGGTGTTGACTTTGCCACGGTTATAAATGTCGCAGCGCGAGGAGTCAGATCGAGAAGCTGAAAATGAAAGAGAACAAGCCCTGGCAACGGGTAGCTGCGATGTCCACCATGAAACAGAAGGGATGATCCGTGGCAGTCTACTCACGTCCACCCTGAAGAACTAGTTCCCCAGCATTCTTTGAGAGTTTGATGTCTCTTGAATGTTTACTAGGAGCAAAGGGTATCGCTACTAGGAGCAAGGACGCTACTAGGGGCTCCTGGCATCGCTACTAGGAGCATTCTTGCTCTAGTAACAAGAAGCTACTAGGGGCCCCTGGCAAACGCATGCAAATCTGCCTTGTACGACTCGCTCCCAACCTGAGGAGAGGCAGAGCTGGATGACCTCTGGGTGCGCCTGGGGGAATTCCACAGCGGGAAGCCACCACCTGTGGTGAAGCTACTTGAAACAGTCCAGATTCGTAGCACAGGGAGGTAGACATGCCTGATTTGGGAGGGTTATCTGGACCAATCAGAGCCAACAGTTGCAAGTCAGTTGAGACTCACTTGCATTATCTTGCCTTCTGAAGAAATAAATCTGGTGCCAAGCCGTTTCCCCAAGCAGCTAGTTCCTGAGGGCCCTGGAGTGGAAGCTCGACATGATTCTACCGAGTTCGGTAGCTGACCCCAGAGACTGAGAAGAAGCCACACGTGTTGATAGCAGCTTTCCTCTCTGGAAATTTTGGAGAATGACAGGATATGCCTGGGAAGATAGGGCTCCCCAATAGCGGCCATCCCTCTCATGCTGCGAAGCAGAAAACTCGTTCTTTGTGTGGCTAAGCAAAAGATGCAAAACAAGCGAACAGCAAAAAGGGTCAACCAAGAGTTCCAAAAGCAGCGCATTGCAGGCATTGCAAATGCGATTTTCAATGATTTTCATCTGTGCTCATTGATGGCTGCGGTGCAAATCAAGCGAACCAAGACATGCGTCCAACCACAACCACAACCGAAACTCACATGAACAGCAAATCCATCACACTTTGGTTGCCAGGATTCCCTCTCGATCTTCTCCTTGAGGGACCACGTGAGCAACCTGCTTCAGCAGTAGCCCGGCCGGCTGGATGGGGGGCTCCATGGATTTTCCGACTTTTAGCACATGTGGATTGGGGAGTCCATTGCATTACACCTCCCATCATCACCTCCAACCACTTTAGCCTGATATGCTGCCCTGCTTTCTGGGCTATTGCCTGGTGACACGGTTAACCGATATGATCAGATGTGATGTGAATCTTTCTCTTCATCCGGAAATTGATGCAGGAATCCCCAGTCAAGGGATGTTGCCCGCAAGCCGACAAGGATGGACAAGTCGGCTTTGTCCCTGGGCTTGTCAGATTTTGTCTATGTATATGATTTAAATAGGTATAGGCAATCTGATAAACTGGCTTGTATGTGACGACTACAGTTGGGGTTCAGCCCTATGACCATACCACAGAGTCCAATGTCGGAACCCAAAGTCCTCGGAAAGAGCCCCCCTAGAACCTCCCATGTCAATCTACCACGAAATCGAAACTTCTGATCACCAGAAGTACTTGCTCCACCACAAAAACCTGAAGATCCATCCAAGACCACAATAGTGAGGAAGAGTTCGTGTTCCTTCCATCACGCTGAGGCCTTTGCCCACGCGTGGTGAAGGCATCAAGGATTATGCCAGCCAGAGCAGTGTTGGGCCTTTGCCTGTGCGCCGGGGGAATTTTCGCGGCGGCTGATGCGACTGACTGGAGTTGTTCCGGGGTTTTGCATGTTTTTTCCATGAGCAATCAACGGCAAACAGGACCAGTTCTTCTATTGCCGTGCCAGAAGGGCGAGCTTTGTTGTGAAGAGCCCCAAGAGCTCAGGGATTCTTGTGGGTGCAAATGTCAGTTTCATTTTGGAATGACACGAATAGAGCTTCTACCTTGCTTTCTTGTGCACACAATTCGTGGCATTGAATCCTATCTGGGAGATGCCCGTTTTCGCTACCACATACCAGACACACCTCCAACTTCTGCTAGCGGAGGTTCTTCTCACGAAGACTGACCAGACTCGGCTGAGCACACAGGGCAGGCTTTCCTTGCATGCCATTCTATGATCTTCCTGCAGGTTCAGCCAGGATTGGTACTCAAACAATCTGCACGAGGTCCTGCTGTCCATAATTACCTAGAAGTTGAGAGGGTGCCGGGTGCCCAAGAGAAACTCTAGACTTGTGCATCAAATAGATCGACCCCTCCAAAACCTAGTCCGCAGCTGCCCAATTCTTTTATTGTCAATTCCTTGTCGGCATGAACCAGCCTGTCGGATGGTGTGCTGACATCTAAGCAGAAAGTACTTGGAAGAGAAATGGGAGCAGAAACCATTGGGTTTCTGCTCAACCCATTAAAATGAATGCGATGTATTTGTTTGCCGGCCTGCTCCGCCGCTGCTTATCTCCGGTTCAAGCGTTTATTGAGTTTAGTGGCTATGCTTGGGCCCGACATAGAAGGTGGTGGTTCGACATTAAATTATGCCCCTAACTAACCTAGCCCCACGCTCAATCTCTGATGTGGGCTTTGCACACAGCATGTTCAAGCCCTGATTCCAACCAAAGGTCTTTTGGGTGGCACTAACTTCTAAGAAAGCGAGAGATCCCTTGATTCCGGCACAGACACTTCTCAGGGACCTAAGGTCTTCCAGAAGCAACGGACTAAGCAAATGAGATGACCGGACTTGGACAGTAGCCTGAATCCCCAGACCGCTGGATCACCCCACAGGACGGTTTGGATTTGTAACCCTTTAGGATTTGGGTCCCTTTGCAGTCCCCAGTGGCAGGGAGCCGTTTAGAGGTGAGGCCAGAATAGCTTGGTGCTCCCCCAGTGGAAGTGAAAGCCTCTCGAATCATCACGTTGGCAGACTGGCTTGAATTCATAACCTCCATTTCCACAGCTGACTGAGAACCACCTGCTGCAACAGAATCTAACAACATTTTGGTGCTTTTTTCCCGATTAAACTTTAGACTGTTCCGTTCCAGTATGCACACAAAGATGTACCGCCACTGTAGCATTGCTTTGGAGCCCGTGATCAGATTCGCACTCCGCTGGAACGGCGGTACCACCGTTTTTTCCATGGTCCATTTAGTCTTGGAACGACCGCGGGAGTCTGTTCTGCCGGTGCTCATTCAACATTGTGTCAGTTGGCCGCATGTGAGATGAACTACCACCATTGGTGGTTTTAAAGATCCGTGCCTCGTAGTTTACATCAACCATTGAGAACAACATTTATTTGCCACATTTCGGTTTGCCGGTCGCAGGCAGGAGTGCTTCGCCGATTGATGTAAACCTGACCGTCCTGACCATTGTTGAAGTAGCAATTTTGCACTCTGCCACAGCCAGACAAGAGTTTGGGGCCCATCACTTTTGCGCCGCATTTATAACATGTTTCTCAACAGAACAGGCTCAGGATGGCATGATGTGAGCAAGCCATGTTTCATCAAGACTTCAAATTGCATGTCCAAACCACACGTGAAGTGCGGGATGTGATTTGGAGAGGCTCTTGGAACAGGCCGCTCTGCAGGCTACTCCCCTGAAACCACAGGTATGGACACTGGACACTGGAACCCAAAACGATCTTTTTCCGAGAACTTTGGCGTCCCAAGAGGAACCCTGTTTGCGTTTGGTGTGTGACGTCCAACTGCTTTTGCACAATTCCCCAATCCTTTTCAGGTTAGCTCTTCACGGGATGAGAAGAAGACGAAGAAGGAATTCAGGCACATTCGACCCCAGCCGGTCGGCTTATTTCGCAGACGTTGAACGGTGCAGATTTCTGTTGGGGGGGAACTAAAATCACATAAAAATGATCAGTGTTGGGGACTCTTGCTACAGCAATTCATATTTTGAGAGGGAGGTCTTAGACGCACATTTCACGACCATGCAAAACATACATGGCCATAGGAGCCACAAGATCTGGAGAATGCCCACAAGCCTATGGCCTGGCCAATATATGATAGTGACCAGTAGTTGCGAGAATTAGCATAGGCTCGATCTTGGGGCAGTATCCGCTGTTGGGACAGCTCATATCATATAGAATCTATCCCGCCATCTACATATATGAGTCAATAATAATTATACTGTACATATATGTATTATTGTATACATGTATCTCTCTCTCTCTCTATATATATATTATATCAATGTTATTACTATTATTACCATCATTAGTATTATTAATAAGATATGGGTGGGAGCGTGACCTCCAGAGGCTCAAGGCTTTGACTTTAAAACTTTAAGGTCAAACAACGAAGGAGGAATAGGCTGAGAATATATTTTTGAAGGCACCGGCTGGTTCTTGCCGGGCCACAAGCTACCCATAGCCAGCTGAGATGCTTCGGGATAGCAGATGGACCTTCTCGTTGCTTCGCCCACACTTTGGAGGGCTCCAATCTGTTAATGTATTTGAGATGTCTCAATGTCTCGAGTTCATGTGGTCAGTCGCATCCTCAATCTTTTGGGCCTCCGAAGGAGCAGCGATCCACTCGAGGAACTTTTCCTTCCCTTGAGTCACTTGAGTCCTTGGGAGGCGGTCTTTTGACTTCTTCCCTTGAGTGCAACCAGGTAGCACCAATTTAACCCAACCACCTGGAGAAAGACCCACTCAATCCCTTTGACCTAGATTTGCCAGGAAAAGCAGCTTTTGGAGCATTGCCTTTCCCATCTATTACGTACTACTCAGCTTCACCTGCAATGTGCTCTTCCTGGTGGGCTCCTTCCTGTTCTTGCCCATCAAAAGCCAGGAGGTGAGTCAAACATGCCGCTGCACCAGCTGGTGCTGGGATTGAGGGTGGCACCCGCCTCGGGAGCAACAACCGGCTAAAATCACGGTCCAGTGCAACCGGTTCTTGGAAGCGGCTCTCAGGGAAGTAAAGCGACGGTTCCTTTCCACCACTAGTTACTAGGCCTTCAGTTGGACCTGAAGTCTGGTTCATGCTGGTTCTGTGCCTCTGAAAGAGGACTTTTTCCACAACGAGCTTCACCTTCAGACCTGCGCGACCGCGGTCGGACCCAGCCGCGCTTCCAACCTCGTGACCGCAGAAAAGCGCGGTGGGCGCCAGGCCAGTGTGAGCTTTACCTTCGTTGTGGAGAACATCGATGTAGACCAGGTGATGACCTCCAACAGCACTCTTTTCCAGCTCCCTGGTCTGTGATGAGATGGTGGCGAGGAGGGCAGGTTTTTGAGGTGAGATTCACATCCAAGACGTGGTTGAACACTTGATTTGGATGGATTCTTCTTCAGCTGTGAGACTCACTGGGCTGCTGGGCTTCAACAGCCGGTTGGACTCGCCTTAGCGATGCCAGGAGCCCCTAGTAGCGTCCTTGCTCCTAGTAGTAAGGCCAGGAGCCCCTAGTAGCTTCTTGCTATTAGGGGTGTCGTTATTTCAGGCCACAGAGACCATCTCAGGCAGCTGGAGACCAGCTTCACCGGTGCTTTAGCCTCTGACCGGCGGAACCGCATCAAGCCGCACCACACGCGACTGGACTGAGTGAAAGTGGGGGTGAGGATGGTGAGGATTCGTGAGGATTCAGGAATTGAGGAGCTCCACTGAACCGGGAAGGTCTTTGGACATCGAGATTTCCCACAAAAAGGACACTGGTCGATCTTCTTCAGTGAACCTGACCTTGTCTCAGTGAGGGACAACTTTGACAGGTTATTAAACATCATGAGCTCCGAGCACTTGGTGGTCGTTCTTGTAACCATGGGGTCAGAGGGCAATTCTGAGATTCGAAGCGCGCCGCTCGCACGTCAGAGGCGTGGAAAGCGTGGAACGCGCCCGGAACACGACCCGCTCCGGCGAAACGACCGTGCGTCGACCGTTGTCGTGGACCCACCTTTGCCGGAACAGGCACTTCCAGTGGCGGAAGACCACCTCCTGCAGCCTGGACCAAGCGATGCTTTTCGATGTGAACATCTATCCACGGGATGGGCACCTCGGATTTTCCGCAGAGGGCTGCAGCTCCTGGATGCACCCAGGGTTGGGTGGAGGGCTGGCAACCACGGAGGTGTGTGTGGAATGGTGGGTAGTCAAGAGAAAGGGTGGGACATGGTCGTCCTGTGACATGTATGCCCATCAACTGCAGGTGTATTTTGCTTACCACTACCACTTACCTACTATTTGCCCTTTGTCTCCCTCCTGCAAAATTCTTTGAGAAGCTTCAAGGAGAGTGGGAGTGTGTCGGGGGTACCTTTCAGGCATGATGCTGTCCCAGCGAACATGACGTCTCGCCGCTGATGCACTCTGAAGTTTGATTTGGCCCAGGCTGCAGGATGAGTAGATGTACACAGTACAAGTGCTTGTTGTTTTATCAATTACAGCTACGGTACCAATTCCTCTAGCGTCGTCAAGCTCTGGTTGTTGGGTTCTCTCAAATTCCATGCGACCGACTCCCTCCCAAAAGAACCTCATCGTGAGCGTATGAGGCTTCTCTTCCCCTTAAAAACATGTGGGACTTTTGGTCACATGTACCCATGTTTGCGGCCAAAATTCTGACCATCTCTCGTGTCAGGGTCTTTGAAGGGCCCTCCTTGTTCATATCGCTTTGCCGCATTTTTTCTCTTGTTGCAGCATTGATCACTCGAGGCACAACATCACCGCCTTGTGACTTGGTGGCGACTTTGCAAGGGGTTTGTCTGTCCGAGGAGTGGCTTCTTAAGTACAACCAGGCACTGGGCTGGCTGCGGTGTTCCGCATACACCAGAGTTGGCTTCACAAAGTCTTGCTGTGTCTACCGGCTGGAGTCAAGATCCCAACCCAGCTACAATGTTCTCGATGATTTCTCACCTGGGCTCACTGAACACCCAGAAAATCCGTCCATGACCTGAGGATCTAGGGCAACTGCCCAAACTCTTGAGACAAATCAACTTGTTGATCTGGAAAGGCCAAAATGAGAAGCTGTGAATACGTTCCAGCCCTTTGAAGGTCAAGAAGTCCGCATGTACAGGCGGAGCAGTGATAAGGGTAACCCAAGTACAACTTAATAGACTCAGAGTCAGAGAATCCTTGTATATTGCCGATACTTATATATATACAGTATATAGACACAAAGGGACCCTGAAGACCAAAAGAGTACGAGAAAGAGAGGGTACCAAATCTACCAACCTGACAGTCAAGCTCGGAGTTCCATTTCCGTTGCAAGTTGGTTTTCCAGCCCAAGGCAAATGTCCATGCCCAGCGTGGCCTCTCTCTCGACGGCGCTGAACCAGTCCTTTTCTGCCAACACCATCGACGAGCTGGCGACGGGGGAGCCTCAGGCGCAAGTGAAAGAGGGTTGGTGTGGTTGGAGCCAATCGGTCTATATACATTCGCATCTATATACTAGTAACAAGAAGCTTCTAGCAACCATGGGCATTTCTACTACGAGCAAGGACGCTACTAGTCGCTCCTGGCATTACTACTAGGAGCAAGAAGCTATCTACAGTTTTCCGTTTTTTTGCATTTGCTGCTACTTGCTGTTGCTGCAATCGTTGGGTGTTGGCTGTGGTTGGAGGTGCCGTGAGTAGTAGTAGTAGTAGTAGTAGTAGTAGTAGTAGTAGTAGTAGTAGTGAACCGTAAATAGTCGGAGTCGTTAGGAATAGGAGATTGGACAACTTGAAAAATCCTGCACGGTGTCCCTCAGTACACCGGCCGAACTTTCGGATGAATATGGAAGTGTGATGAGACTCTGAGCATGGGATTTGCAAATGAGACCAGTCTCTATCAAGAAGCAAGCCAATTTCATTATGTGTAGGAGATTTCAGGGGCTCTGACCAGGATGGCTTGGAGTAGCAGAGGACCAGAGAGTTGTTTGCCCCGAATCAAAGCTCTACATAACCTATCCGTCAAGAAGGCGACTTTATGCTTTGGCCAAGTTGCGTTTCCTCGAAACAGATCCCCATTCTTTGAACTGCGGGGCAAGCGATGAACTGAAACCCTCCGTCTCCATGCCTCGACACCCTCGCCAGGTGAATATCGTCACCCGGCCGCGGCTGATGAAGACGGCGGTGGTGCAGAAGTGGGCTGTGGACTTCGGGTGCACGCTCTTCATCATCGGCTCCGCGCTACTGGCAGCGATCAGCGCATTGGATTTGTTGGAGGATATGCTCACCTGCGGCAGCCTGGTGGAGATAGGCGTCGAAGGTTTGCGGGGCGAGGCTCGATCGTAAGGGGTCGATAGAGCAGGGCTTGTTGGTGTTCTCTTCAGGATGGAAGAGTTGGGTGATGAAAGGTGCATGGTGCAGCAGGTGTGCTGACTTGATCTGACTTGGTTGGACCCCACCTCGTACTTGATGGATCTACCACTTTGGCAACTGCTCCGTCTCCACCTGTCTTTTGACGTCCCCACTCCCTTCCGGTCGCCGACCGAAGCCGAAGCCGTTTCGTCCGCGCGCTTATCGCTTCGTCGTCCTTGTCTACTGGGTCGACCGAGGACTGAAGCTGCCAAGTCCCAAGACTTTGACGCAAGGCTATGAATTCGTGGCTTGGAAGCTTCATTCCATGCCCGTGACGCTTCGTGGGACCCCCCAAGCGTTTAGAAGGAAAACGAGGCGAGAGGGTTTCGAGAGGGTTTAGGCTTGACTTCGGCTCCTGCTGTTTTGGGAAGCTAAACTTAAAGTTCAAGACATTGAAGGCATCTCACAGATACCACTTGAGTTGTTGGACTGTAGACTCTGTAGACTGTAGACCCCACAAGCCTGCAGGGTCAGACAGGAGACTGGACGAAGCACCACGTTGATGTCAGGTCGGCAGCGAGCCGGAGGTGTCCTCTTCTGAAAGCCACGTTTTCGTCAGCGCGCGCTTGGAGCGGCTCATGTACCTGAGTGGGGGCTTGATCTTTTTGGTTGGGAGCCTTGCTTGAAAAGGAACTGAGATTGTCATCGTCGTGTATGACCAGAAAGTCCTTTTCTTGGGGAGAAGCTTCTCATTTGCTTGGCCTTTGGTTGTTAGTTTCATTTGACAGCCAAGCCTATGAATTCTTTTGGACCAAATCGGACCAAAGATCTTTGTTTCAGAAATACTTGGGACTTGGGCAGTCTGCCACCGGGTTCTTCAAAAAAATACAACCATCCCATCACATGTCCAAACCTGGCAAACAACCCCCCCTTGGACCCCATCCATGTTGGTGGTTTGAAGTTGGGGGTCTGGCGGGCGTGGAGAAGGCAAGAATGGTTTACTGTAAAGATCGATTGTGTTTTTTTGAAGAGTCCGGGGAAGGTTTGTTTATATCCGCTTGAATCTCTGTCACACGCATTGCAATGATAGAGCATGCTAAGGCCATCTAAGGCCCACCCATCTACAACCCACGTGATGAAACCACAAAGGTGGATGTCAAGGCCCACCCATTGGTCTGCAGCACAAAACAGTGAATATTAAGCCAGGCCTACAGATTGTTTGACAGTGATGTGTGCAAATAGACTGAAGTTGTGGGTACGAAGTACAGTGTCGTATACACTGAAGGCTTTGGTTTGAAGTGTGTTTGTTATATAGTTAGCCGTCTTCGCAAGTCTTGGTAAAAAGTTATGTGCACAACAGCCTGTCTGCATTACCAGTAACATGTATACACATCTCCTGTCACCTGTCTACTTCCCCTCCAATGTCACTGTTGAGAACTCACACGCCTGTCCCACTGTCCCACATTGCATTCCACGAGCACGCACGGTTTTCCAGGTTCTCCACCCAGAAGAGGTGTGGATTGTCCCTGCAAGCTTCATGACCGGACCACGCCATTTGCAGTCATTCCCGCCGCAAACGCAGGTTACAGAGTTCATTGTCAGTGTCCAAGCGCTTTCGGGAAGTTGACGTTTGGCATATTGTTGTTGAACAGAACATTGGGGGGGCCCATGGTGGTGGACTTTTGCTTCCCAAATTGGGAAAGTCTCGAGGCCATTGGACGATTTCATCCCAAAGCAAGTCTCGACTGGAGGTCTTGCAGGATGAGTTGAAAAGAGCTGGCACTTGCCGAGGAGAGTGGGTGGTTGTGCTCACCGCATTCAGAAGAATGGCACCTCAGGGCAAGCTTGGCGTGGGGCCATGGCCAAAGCCTTGCTGGATGGACGGCTTTACAAGGGGAGTTTGGTTTGCCACGCTGGTGCACGTGGCCATGAAAGCGCTGAGAAGACTCGCTCGGCGTTGGATGAGTGGCGCTTCAACAATGAGGTCGTTTTGTACTCTCTCCAACTCCTCTGGCTTCAGGGGGCGCCTTTTATCACGTCCAGGTCTAAGAACCACACCTTCAATATTGCAAGCAGGACCCGGTCTTCATCACCACGCTGTTAACTGATCACGGCCTGCAGCAAGACGATCTTCAAGTTCACACAGCCAATCTCTCGTCCGAAGACAGTGGTCGCAGGTTGCGTGCCGTCCGCTTTGCGCCATTTCATGCAATTTCCCTTGTAAAACGGGCAACCCCTACTCCAAGTTGTCGCCTTCTTGCAGCAACTCTCGGCCACTTGGCGCACAAGTTTGGGGAGAATGGGGTGGATGGTAAAATGCTCTTGGCATAGTGTGCCCCACTCGAACTCCAAATGAACGGGAACAGTTAGAGTTAGAGTTCGACCTGGAAGCATAGAGTTCGAACCCGAATTCGAGCTCAAACTGGAACAGGTAGAGCTCAGCTATCCGAAACTGAACTTGAAGATCGAACTCGAACAAAAGGTATGCTACCTTGGAATGGCTCTTTTCTCTTCCAAAATTTTAGCCGCGGGCGGCTCGCAAAAGGTCTGGTACGAAGGAATCGCTCGTAAAGGCGTTGGAATGGCCCCTGCCATAAGCTTCAGGAGCCGTGGAAACAAAAGACGGCGCTTGTGGTGAAGGGGTGGTCGCTTGGCGTATGTGCAGCCCTTCAGCGACGAGGCACAACAGTCCGTGACAACGGTAGCCGGACGCGCAGCGGAAACTTGCCGGCGCTCATCCCGTGGCTCATGCTGTACGCAAAGAGCATCCACGATGATTTTGGGTTCCCAAGGCACGCTGTCTCCGGTTGGCACAGGTTGCTAGCTGACCAGTGCTAAGCCCAAGGGCCACTAGCTAGACTGACCTTTGTGACATGTGCAAGACAAGGCCGGTCCGAGTTCCTTCCGCAGTCTTTTCGCCTGTTTGGGCTTACTCTGTTTTTTTTTTTCGACTTCACACCTTGCCACCTCGCTCAACGTGGCATGAAACGTTATTGAAAGACGGGCTCTCAAAACATTAGTGTTAGCTTGCGTACTGCAAGCAGTGGTGGTTGGAGGAAAGCAAATGGTATATAGTATATCATTTGGAACTCAGGTGGGCGCACTTTATGATATCTATGCAACTGAGGACCTTCTACTTCCAACATCCGCAGATGGTCAGTTCAAGGCTGGCCAACCTTCTTTTCAAGGCGGTTGTGTTCCTTGGACCATGGGTTGGCCATTGGAAATGTAATGAGCGACCTGCTGCCCGGAAGTTTGGGGCGCTAGAAACACTAGAGTCCATATGTCAACAGGCAATTTCACACTTGTTTTCAGTTTCAACCTGCTTGGCGCAAGAGCCCCCAACCTCAAAAAAGTCTTAAGGCTCACCTTTAACAGTGAATACAGAGGCTGCAAGGCAACCAAATTCGACCAGGGTAGGTTTGTTGGTCTCACGATATGTTGAGACGGACATGCCACACCGAAACCTTAAACCTCCTTGCTGCGTTTTTTGGCAAATCATACGTTGAGAAGTTGACAATGGGTTCGGAGTGGGAGGGATGACTGCACAACAAGATCTCAAGTTGCATGCAGGTCTACAACTGGTTACCGGGAAACCACTCTGGCAGATCGTTATTACTAGCTTCTTGTTCCTAGTAGTAAGGCCAGGAGCCCCTAGCAGCGTGCTCTTGTTCCCAGTAGCGATGCCAGGAGCCCTAGTAGCGTCCTTGTTTCTAGTAGTAAGGCCAGGAGCCCCTAGTAGCAACCTTGCTCCTAGTAGTAAGGCCAGGAGCCCCTAGTAGCGTCCTCTTGTTCCCAGTAGCGATGCCAGGAGCCCCCAGTAGCGTCCTCTTGTTCCTATATAGTAGTTTTGCAAACCAATTTCCCAAACAGAGCATCTTACCTATGAACCACACGTGTCCCGACATCTTCGAACGGGCATCTGTCCTTGTCGCCTGATCAGGGTGCCATCCGAAGTGATGCATGACGAAGACGTGTTGTTTATGGCTATTTGGATGTTCATCATTGGTTCCATTGTCTTCGTGTGCCTTGGACATGTTATGCGGAGAGTGACTGTAGACTGCGCACCCTCAGATCAAGTATCGAGTATCGTGATGGGATGCATGTGTGTGTAAATATGTAGAGGAGGCCGGCATTCATTTGCAAGATCCAAAGGTGTCTTCGGGTCAAATGGTAATCGTGTTTGGACCGGGGTGCAGCCACCCGGAGTGTGGGAGATGTGCTTGCCTCCCCCGAGCATCAATGTGATCCATTGTTAGAACTCACTACGTCACTACGTCGAATTTGTGCTTGACGTTCCTTGCGAAGCAGTAAAGGAACCAGTCGGTTCAGAGCAGATCCATAGACCTGTGGACAATTTTAGAGGTCATGAATACAATGTTGATCACTTTTTGTGTACTGTAGTCTGCTACGCTCATTGTCTTCAACTTCGAACTTCATACATACGATTCTCAATTCCCTCAGTTTCTTTGTATCCCCAACTGGCAAACCTGCGTGCTTCTCTCTTTGGTGAGCCGTCCCTTTTCCGATTTCGCACATGTCTTCCATACTGGCCTCACTGCCGCCCTGGTTCGACCGCCAGTTTCGCCACCTTCCTGAATGCCTTGTCGCTGAATGCGAGCGGCAAGACCTTCATCCACTGGGCCGTGGCCACCTGTGGGATCTACGAACTGGGCGGGATCTTGTTCGTCATGGGCTCGGTGTGCTTCATGCCCAACCAAGGCGCGGCTCTTGGATCGGAAAATGCTTGGAGAAATGAAACGATCCCGGTGGATTGAGAGCCAACAGTTGGTGCAGACCTGGTGGACTTGATATAAGAATTCATGGTTTTTGATGGTTTTTGTTCCTCTTCCTCCACGCATTTGAGTGGAGATATGTGGGGAAGGAGAGAGAGAGAGAGAGAGAGCACTGTCGGACTTTTAGGACGCGGCTTCTGCATAGAACATGGAACACATTCGAGAAGGACATCTCAAAATCTCACATGTGTTCCATGCACATCGGAAACATGTTCATCTCATTCTTTATGTGATACGGTGGTCCATACTTTACACTGTTTTCATAATTTTCTATGCATTTTGGGTCTGCCGACAAAGGCATTCCATGCACCTCACACCTCAGAACGATTACTGTACTAAAGTTGAGAACGACGATGTGATGTGTGAGTATGCAATTCATGGGTTTACATGGAATACCACCCATACCGCCTGCTTGTAGCTTCACAGGAGGTGATGATCCCATTCAGACACTTTACGCTAACATGAGTGCTTTTGGCCAAGACCCACGGTCAACTTCCCAGCCCATCAATACGGGCCAGGCTAGATGGAAGGGCAGTCAAACCAAAGGCACACTGATCTTCAAGTTCACGGAGGGGCCCACGGAGAGGTTTGGTCCTGTGAGCCTTTTATGTTACAGAATGATGCAAAAGATTGTTCTTTCTCAATCTCCACTCCAGGAGCATGGAAACGGGGTACATCCATCTCACTCCATCTCACTCCATCTCACTCCCCACTTGAAGAATCTACGAAATGACATGAGGTTGCAAGGAAGGCATGGAAATCCTGGGTGCCTGGTGCTTCATTGTTGGTGCCGCCTGCTATATGCTTGGGGACTTCATCGAGTTTATGCAGCCTGCACAAGCTTACTGTAGGAGTTGCTGGTGTTTGTGGGGTGGTGGTCGTTGTTTTTGCGGTGGGCCCATGGACAGGCTTCGCCTCATGGGCCTGAGAAATCCGAATCTGATGTTCCAACCTTCCAAGAAGTCTCAAGAAAGGTGATCAATGTTTTCAAGATCATGTGTCTAGGTGAATTGAGGATGGACATTGCCCTACCTCCAAGCCTATTTGGAATGGCTGACAACATGGAAGCAACATGAAACAACAACTCCGACTTCCCAGAAAGAGGCCCACTGGTTTCCGCCGGTTTCTGGGAATGGTGAACCATGGTGAAGGCATGATAGCTGTGGGGTCTTTAAAACATCAGCATGACATGACTTAAATCGTATATATATATATATATGTGACTTATATGACATGGCTTTATGTGACTCACATGGCCAAGTTTGCCAAGGAAGACCTGCGCCTTGATCTTCGTGCGGCTCAAGCAGGAGGAGGCCGCCCGCTGCATCGAGCGGGCAATGCACCTTGACAGCGGCTTTGCCTCCCAGGTACCCAAAGGGGTACCGGGCCTGGCAGGGTGAGGGTTGGGTGGCTTTGGCCCCTCAAAATTGCCGTGGACATACAGAGTTTGGCCCCTAGTCCCTGATTGTGCCACAGGGCTTTCACCAGCTCACATATGGAGCAAAATGGAGGAAGAACTCACCACTGTCCACTCCCTACCGCCCGCGATGCCCCCTGAATTGCTGTAAATACTATGCTCTTCTCCAACTCAGGTGGTACCCACTACATATATTGTCAAAACCAAAGGTTCTGCATGTCGCATGTTCGCCGGATTGCATACAGCACATCCATTTGGCTTGAACGCCATCCATGCTCAAGAAGGGAGGGAGGGTGGCCATCAGTCGAGAGCCATACTACGTGGACGTAGTTCGGAGTGCAGGGCACTGTGAAAGGAAAAGGCGTGCTACGGAAGGGTGTGGGACACCAGGTACAGAAGCCAGGGAGCTTCCGGCTCTTTGAAGGAGAATTCATTTGGCTTCAAGGAAACCTGCATTTCATTACATTCGAGAGCTCACTATCCGGATCGACTCAACTGCCTTTCTCGGAATCCGGGGTGGATTCGAGATTGGTAGCGGAGCTACCTGGGCGATCGAAAAGGGAGATCCTCACCATACATTGTTGAGCAGTTGTGATCATGCCTGAAGCATCTGGTTCAGCTACATTGGAAGGATCCTCATCAGGTGGAAATCAGTTGGCAGCCCTGATCCCATCTTTTGACCCGGCAGTTGACAATGTTGAGCAGTGGTCGCGGAAGATCGAGCTCCTCACGAAAGTCTGGCCCGAAGAGAAACTGACAGAGCTTGCAACACGTATCGTTTTGAGTTGCAAGGGCTCCGCATTCGCAAAGCTCCTTTTGCAACAGAAGGAGCTTCTGGTTGGAACAGTTCAGAGCATTTCCAAGATCGTGGAGGTCGTTGGCGGCCAATTCGGCCAGGTGAACTTGGAACAGAAATTTGATATCGTGGAAAAGGCCCTATTCAGGTGTGCCCAGAAGCCTGACGAAAGTGCAGATTCATACATTGCACGGCCCGAAGTGGTGTGGACCGAGATGCTGACGAAGAAGATCAGCATGTCCGAGGTGCAAGCATATACAATACTCCATGGCAGCAGACTCAGTATGGAAGATAAGAAGAGGGTTCTTGTTGAATCCGGAGCGGAAAAGGCTGGCAGCGAGCTCGAGATGAAGCGAGTCGCAGCAGCTATCCGGATGCTGGGGTCCAACTTCTTCCAGGAGTACACGTCCGGCAGAAAGGACAAGGCCCTCAAAACATACGATCACATGGCCTTCGGAGTAGATGAAGTTGATGAATATGGTGAAGAAGGCCAATGGGAAGACGACCCTATGGAAGAAGAGACCTTGGAAGCCATGGCTGCTGAGGATGATGACGCCTCAATGGTGCTCCAGTTTGAGAATGCCCTCCTGGATACAGCGCAGGAAGACAAAGAGTTGGCCACATTTTACGTGAGCTACCAAGACGCCCGTCGGCGCCTGCTGGAGAAATCCCGGTCTCGTGGTTTTTGGCCTCCTCGGAACTTCAAGGGGGGTGGAAAGAAAGGAAAAGGGAAAGGAGTGAAGGGTAAGTCCAAGAGTCTCGCCCATCGGATCGCCAATTCAGCATGCCGGCTTTGCGGCCAGACCGGCCACTGGAAGGCAGAATGTCCATCTCGGAAGAATTCCAGATCCGAGTCCCATCAGATTCCCGCCTCGTTCGTGCTCGACCTCGAATCATGCCTGAAGGACATCCCGGAAGTTCCCAGCGACGCTTTGTCACGGGTAGAAACATTTTGTTTGACCACCCTTGGAATGTCCATCCATCAGTTCAGGGAGAAGTTTCGCGCCAAGTGTCGTCACATTGCCGCACTAAGGAGCCCTCATCAAGTGCCTAACAATGAGTTGACTCCGAAGCCACATGCCCGTGAGAGCGCGTCGGTCACAGAATGGTCAGCCGAGGAAGCAACGACGTGTTTTGCTTCGGAAGGTTCCGTGGGAGTTGTCGATTTGGGGGCATCCCAAACGGTCATAGGCAGCCAGCAAGTACCTGACATGTTAGCCAACCTTCCAAATCACATTCGAAAACAAGTAAAGAAAACGGCGTGTAATCTTGTTTTTCGATTTGGGAACCATCAAACACTGACCAGCAGAGTGGCCCTAATCTTACCAGTGCACAGGACTTGGATTCGGATAGCCATCGTCCCGGGCCGAACACCATTTTTTGCTCTCCAACTCATTTTTGAGAACGATCCAAGCAGTCATTGACACTCAGGAAAACACTCTGTGGAGCAAATTGTTGGGTCGATATTTGGAAACCTCAAAGTCAACATCGAATCTCATGCTTCCAAGACACCGTGCAGGTACACGGATCTGACCAGGTCCATTCGATTCCACTTGAAAGCCCAGACCTGCAGCCTCCGAGTGCCGCTAAAACGTCTTTGAGGGAGACAGAACAGTGTCTCAAAAGTCAAATGCATGAAGAGTCCATGTTAAATAAGACCAACCACACCGATTCAGAAGAACCGAATGAGAGTCAACCGTCGGAGAACGTTCGTATCAGTCATCAGCCTTAATCCAATTCAACCAGCTTCCCAGCTCTCAAGATCTGACTCGCTCGTGTGATTTTGACATCCCAGACAATGTCCAGCCTCAGTCAGAAGCTCACAATGTTCCAGGACGACATCAAGAAGGAACAGAACCAGGAAGCCCTCGATCTGCTCGACAGCATGCCACTGAGCCGACTCAAGGCTCTACCCATCGAGTTTGGCAAAGCGAAAGTGGGCCAGTCGTTCGAGGAAGCCTTTCAGGATCAGGCATGGACCAAGTGGTTTGTCAAGACCTACGAAAACAGCACCAAGATGGAACATCGTCAGTTCCTTCGCTATGTGGCCCTCAAGGTGGAGGAGAATCCAAAAGTCAAGATGAGCCAGCCGGTGAAGAAGACTCCACCGTACCTGAGCTCTTCAGCTCAGGGTTCAGAACAAGCCACTATATGGCTCGACCAATGACATCAGATCCTTGGGACCCAGAGGAACACCAGCTTGAGGAGATTTTGGCCCATCAGGAAAGTCAAGATGCGCGCGTGAATCGAATCTCCGTCTCTCTCCTGGGGATGCTCCACTTCGAAGAAGTAGAAGCTGAGGACGTGGGAACCGTGGGAAAAGCTGCCGGCAAGACAGATGCGCCGTCCATGTCCTCCCTCAAGATGTGGACTCACCATCTTTGCCAAGACCAAGTCTTCAGAAAGTGAGCAACCTAAGAGGGGAATGCCAATCGACCAGTCTCCTATTGCCAAGAGTCGCCGATTAGCTGAAGTTTTGCCGGAAGCAGACCATCCTGCGGACAGCCCCGCCCCTGGTGCCATTCAGCCGATGATCGGCGAGAATCCTGGAGCTGCCGAGAAAGAAGAAGCTAGTGACTTTAGACGGATGGTAGATTTAGTCTCCGACAAGCATGGACCAAAATTCCTGTCCCTCAAACCAGAAGAGAGAAACTGGCTCATGAAAGTCCACAAAAAACATGGGACATCCGCAGGCTAACAAACTGAAGCTTTTCTGTCAGCAAATGGGCTGCTCATTGGAAATCATCGAGGCAATCGGGGAACTTAAGTGTTCGACATGTCAAGAAACAAAAGGACCTGCGATTGCAAAACCCAGTGCCATCCACCCAATCTGGATTTTGGAAGTGATGTCGTAGGAATGGATGGAATCAAATGGACCAATCATGTTGGAAAACAGCTATTCTACCATTTTGTAGATTAGTCCACAACCTTCCACACGGCAATGAGTGCCAGAAGCCATTCGTCACAAGATGCTATCCGAGCATTGACGCAAGGCTGGATCAACTGGGCAGGTCCCCCGATAATGTTGGTGGTAGATGCTGGAACTGAATTTGGAACTGAAGCCTTCCACCAGTTCCTTCAAACCCATGATATAAAACTCCGCATGATAGCACCAGAAACCCATTGGCAGAACGCTCGCGTTGAACGCCATGGAGGAATCCTCCAAGCCATACTCACTGAAATGGACCAAGAAAAGCCAATAGAAACGGAAGAACTAGAAATGGCGCTATCATTCGCCACACAAACGAAAAACAAGTGGTCGCGAAACAGGGGATACCCACCAGAAATCCTTGTGTTTGGAAAACTCAGCAAAACACCTGGGTCCATAATGAGTGATAGTTCTGAAGCTCCTCATGAGCTCGCTATGCAGGATTCGCCAGAAGGAATCCAGTTTCGTGAACAACTAGCCTACCGGGAGCGAGCCAGAAAGGCATTTTGCGAAGTTGATAACCAGCAAGCGCTCCGGAGAGCTTTGAGTCAACGCAGCAAACCGCAGCGCACAGTCTTCCATGCAGGGGACTGGATCATGGCCTGGAGGAAGGACAGCCAATGGTTTGGACCTCTCAAAGTAATAGTTCAAGAAGACAAGAACGTTTTGTGGGCGGTACTTGGAAATAAGCTGTTCAGACTAGCTCCAGAACACGCTCGCCATTTATCAGCAGTAGAAGAAGTCCATAAGAATCAACAACCAGAAACTCCCGATCTGAAGAAAATGCTTGATCAAATTCGTGCAGGAAACACCCGCTTCGTTGATATGGAGACGCCCCTTTCAAGGGTCACTCCCACGGCGTGCAGGTTTTTGGACAACAAATGACAGAAATCAGCAATCCCCGCTTCGTGTAGAAGTGCAACCAATGGAGCAGGAACTCCCTCAGCGAGAAGTCGAGCGCAAGCACCACCAAGTTGAAACAGCCCTCTATGCTAGAGTGCAAGCCCTTCATGCCTTGATTGAGGACATTGAGCAAACTGTCGATCAACTGCCACCTGATGTACAGGGAGCACTCCTTGCCCCCCTTGCAGACTGGCACTCACAGTTGCGCGGGCTTGTTTATGTAGCATGGCTATTTTCCCTGTTGCACCCGCAGGCGGATGATCGTGAACAAGGATGATGAGCCAGGAGTCAGCGGGGAACGAGACCCATCATTGCCTAGGTCGGAAGAAGAATATACCCCCACCATTCCAGAAGAATAAAATCCACCGGAACCAATTCCAGTGACAGAAGATCCAACACTTGAACTGCCAGAAAACATTCCCGTGCCCGTCGAGGACGACGATGAACTGCTGTGTGAAGCGCTTAACCTAGAAGAAGAGCAAGTGTGGCGCTATGAAATAGACATCGATAGAAGAGATATTGATGCCTTTCGAAATGAACCCGAACCAAAAGAACTTGCTTTTGTAGTGTCCGCCTCAAAGAGACAAAAAAATCGAGGTTAAGCTGTCCACCCTTCAACCATGGGAAAGGAAATTGTTTCAAGAGGCCAAAGAGAAGGAAATTCAGAGCTGGCTCAAACGGTGTGTCGCATCCTTAGGCATAAGATCCCTGAAGAACATTCTCAGGCGCCGTTGGATCTTGACCTGGAAGGACGCCGAGACAAATTCACATCACGGCTGGCAATAAGAGCGCACCACAAAGAAAAGCTAAAGCTCGTTTAATAATTCTTGGGTACCAAGACCCAGAATTAAGCTCACTGGAGCGTGATTCACCCCTATGTTTATTTCACTCAGACCAGCTTCCTTTTCATCTGGGGACAGAAGGCTTTATCGCTCGGGCGAGACTCTTAGAGATGCTAACTTGCGAAGGAAGGAGAGACAGAAAGAGAATAAAAGGAAAGGAAGGCCGCCAACTTCTGATCAAGCAGCTTCATCGACTGCAGCGGCATAAATTCAGAGCGGAGGCTAAAATTTAAACGATGGCTAGGAAGTGAAGATACTTCTGATTACAGTTGATACTTTGCTTCCAGGCTTGACTTGAAGTTGCCAGGCTGAAGTTTTAATGAATCCTGGTTTGCAACAAGGAGAAACTTTTTATCAAAGAAGATACTCCTGCATTCCAGGTTTATACGCTTTAGCGTGCAGATAAATACAGTTTACTAAACGGTTATTATCTGCAGGTAGGTATGGACAGTTTTACAGAACTGATGATATCTACCACAGCCGCTCTTTTGAAATGACCTCTAATGGACAACCATTTATGGTTGATGATTAAGTCATTTTATGAGTTTGCATTTGTAGTGCAAGTTCTTGTACATACATTTGCCGGTATCTCCCTTCCTTTTTGTTTTTTTGGCTGATTTTGGTGTCAATGTGAGAGAGTCCTTTTGATGCAGTTCAATTTTTGGAATAAGTCCTGTGTATGGAAGCGGCCGAGACCACTTTTCGAGAAGAACATTCCTCGGACCGAATCATTCACGCCCCTTGCATTTTGCAAGGCATCTTAATTCATTGCAGTTTGTGCGGTCTTGAAATTTTATTTCTTCGTTACGCGAGTGTCGTTTACTGCTTTTATAGGTCTCTGTGCAAGGAAGCCGCTTTCCTTTGAATTTATAATTTCTTTAGAGCTCTGGCTATTTAAGGGCTATTGAGCGCCGGTACATGGTATCTTCGCCGGTGAGCGATACAGTCTCCAGCCGAGATACATTGTCTTTGACTTTGTATTTGAGGTGAGTGAGCTATCGCTCCCTCACTGTATTTAGTATACCTAGAGATTACCTTTTCCAAAGTGTGCAACACACTGGAATTGGTAAGTACAGGGCACCGTGGTTTCCTTTTTACGCTTATTAGAGCTTGCTGGACTGTTTTAGCCTTGCGGTAGAAAAATAGTGTGCGACATACGCAATAGGCAGGAGTGGACATGAATTTTGTGCCTGCTGAAATGTAGAGGCCTACTTGTACAGGTTCCACTCCAGTGGCCTATCTAGTGTGTCCATACTTGACTGCCATAAGGCTCAAGAGGATAAGACTCTGCGTATAAAAGACACTAGCGGTCTGCGCCTCAACCGTGTACGCCCTAGTCACTCTTTCACCCCCCCCCTCCCCTCCCCGTCCCCTCCCCGTCCCCTCCCCTCGTCGCCAGCGCTACTAAATTCTGGACATAAGGTGAAGTCATGCGCTTAACAGTCACAGCAGTACGACGCTGGCCATGAGGTTGCGCAATACAGCACGAACCCTGCGCAATGAGGTCGCGCAATGTAGCTTCGATGCCGCGCGTGCGCACCCGGCAGCCTGACACAGCGCGTACTGCGTTCACAGACCATATTGCTCGACACCAACGAGCATCGATGCAACACAGCCTCTCTGCAAAGAACCCCTCGCGTCGCGGAACACCATTCGACTCAGCCTTATACCCTAGCGTGGCGAAATCTTACCGCATCGTGGAGCACACCCACCATAGCGTGACGTCCATCCCTGGCAGTACCGGCCGCACCCCTCCAGCACTATCCTTACAAGGGGGTTGGTCACTGAGTCACTGCGGCTTCGACGCAACGCGTGCAGGCTTGAAATCCTGACACAGTGCGTGCAGCTGTGGGACCATAGCTGGTACACATGCGAGCGTTTACGCATTGCGACTTTTACGCGCGCCTGTTTTCACACACCTAGACACAAACGAACGTCGACGCAACGCAGCCTCTCTGCAGAGCCGTGTGGCGCAATCTGACCGCAACGGTGTTCCTCTTGAGCCTTCTTATGCCTTCTTGTGCTCTCTGGCTTTGTTGGTTTCATCCAACGTTCCTGAAACACAGGAGACAGTCCCTCACCAGAAAAGGTCCTGACAGCTATTCGGTCCGTCTCTACCTTTCGTGTTTCCCCGCTCAAGTTGGAAGTCTTCAATATGCTGCCGTAAACACTCGGCCAGGCCTGTAGACTCAGCCTGTTGCAGGGAAGAATCAACAATGGTCAAATCCAAGACCTCATCGAAGGAAACAAACTTTTGCACGATGCCAAGGTGCACTCCCAAGTGAAGTGCAAATACCAGTACATTCCCAAGGAAGAGCTAAGATTGGTAGCGTTCTCCGATGCTTCGATCCCTCGCATCCGAAAAGAATCATGCTTCCGACACAAGGACTCGTGATCATGACTGCCCACAGAGAAATAGGGGGAAAACAAAAGAAGTGCAGTGAATCCCATAGTGTGGTCATCCAAAAAGATACAGAGGGTAGCCGTAAGCACTCTTTCAGCTGAAGCAATGGCACTAGCTGGAGCGATGGACATACTTGCATGGTGCCGGTTGTACTGGGGATGGCTCCTTGATAGCGCGTGCAAATGGAGGCTTGGTGATAAGACCTTGACCCAACTTCCGATAGCATTCTCAGCTTTCAAGGATGAACCTGAGCTTCAAGACCCGAACGAGTCTCTGTGTGAAAATCTAATTCGACTTCAAGAAATTGGAAAACAAGACTCCTTAATTGCCACCGATTGCAAAAGCCTTTACGACCTCATCAGTCGTACTGCTCCTCCGGCATGCCAAGAATTCCGTATGTTACTCCAAGCAAAACTGATCAAGGAACACCTCGCCACAGGTGTAGCAGTTCGTTGGGTGCCTTCAAGCGCTCAAGTTGCCGATTGTTCAACTAAAATCATGGATAACACCACGATTTGAGAGGTGCTTCAGATCGGTCGATACCAATTAAAGGATGAAGAAGAAATCTTGAGAAATCGCTCGGATCGCAAAGCCAGGCTTAGGTGGTTTCGCAGCCATGAGGCCAGATCTTCACCGGAAAGTTCAGGGAAAAGCCAAGACGCCCCGAACTGACGGTAGAAGTCCATATGACCTCCCTCCAAATGCAAGGCAGAGCTTTTTGATGGAACAGTGATTGCCAATCTATGACAATGGTCAGTATTCCAAGGACGAGAAATGAGCTGAAAGTGGGTCAACAATCTCGTTGTGGGAGATACTCTTTCGAGTATATGGGCTTGGACAGCAATCGCTTGATGCGAACTTGATTTTGTTCGCGAGAGAGATCACAACTGCTCCCACGAAGAACATGCTGGACAAATAATTCAGAATATTACGAATGTCAAAACCAAAGGTTCTGCATGTCGCATGTTCGCCGGATTGCATACAGCACATCCATTTGGCTTGAACGCCATCCATGCTCAAGATGGGAGGGAGGGTGGCCATCAGTCGAGAGCCATACTACGTGGACATAGTTCGGAGTGCAGGGCACTGTGAAAGGAAAAGGCGTGCTACGGAAGGGGTGTGGGACACCAGGTACAGAAGCCAGGGAGCTTCCGGCTCTTTGAAGGAGAATTCATTTGGTTTCAAGGAACCAGGAAACCTGCATTTCATTACATTCGAGAGCTCACTATCCGGATCGACTCAACTGCCTTTCTCGGAATCCGGGGTGGACTCGAGAAAAAAAAATATACTTATGTATACATATATGTATACACAAACATCCTGGAGTAGATAGAAAATGAACCAATCCAAAAACAGGACCAGTTTTTAGCGGTTTTTTGAATTGCCCATATGTCATATATTCCGCAATAGATTTATAGATAGAGTTTTGTAGATGTTCCAAAGAAACCGCCCAAGGCTTTGCCACCTCTTCCGCAAGCGCTTGGACAGCGTCGGCAAACTGAAGCCCTTCCAGCGCCGGGTGCTCCACGGCCGCCGCGCCTCCTCGCCTCTGCCGGCGCCCCATGCACACTCGGCACCATCCAGGCCAAGACGGGAGAGCTTGAAGGAGGCGCGATGGGAGGCTTGAAGGGACGAAAAGGAAGGAGTTCTTGGACCTGAAGGTGACTTGAATGAGGCATTTCAATTTAATTTCCTTTTCCTTTTTTCTTTGTTTTCTATTTCGGAGCTGTGAAGGTATTTTGTAGAGCCCATATGGGTGAGCCGCAGCAAGCAGATCCTTGGGACGTCCCTTCATTTGGGGACATGCAAATGTTCTCGTGGTGCATCCAAAACCCTTGGCCCTAGGTTCTTTAGAGCATTTTGGAGCATTCGGTGAGTTTTCTTCGTCCCTTTGCTATGTAGAACATGATAAGGAATTTGACGAGAGTCAGGTGAGTGCACCATCCACTGTCACTCTTGTTTCAGAGGGTTCGGGTTCTTCTTGTTGATGTTGGAGTTGACTGCCTTGGATACACAGAACCGCGTGATGGGATTGCTCGCTGCTGACTCCAGCAACAAGAGGGCCGTCTACAGTTGGTTCGACAGTCTACTCTACTCCTGGGAAGTACATTAATTAATTTAATTACCTCAAATGTAATTCTTTGGCACCACAGGATGTATTGCCTGCTTAGCTGCGGCTTAGGTTTCAGCCTCTGACCACTTTCTTACAGAATTTGGGTCACAGGGTCAAGGTGTGGACTGGGTCACTGGGTTAAGGTGGTCCCACCCTTGTTGATCAATGAGCGTGTGACGAACGTGTGAACTAGATGAAATATGATGAAATGGATACTGTATCGAATGCCTCGTAGCGTCTCCCATAGATCAACGGGGGGATGCGGGAGAAGGGCAACCAACGCCTTGTACCTGAGTGCAGGTTGGAATGGTGCGGGCCTTCACTGCAGCCTTGGGGCAGCAACCAATCATCCAAGCCCTTCAATTGAGCCTTGGTTTTGATACAGGCTCGTTTAACGGACAAGACCATCCATGATGAGAGAGAGAGAGAGATGATACACGTTGATCCCATGAGATTCTCACAACCAAAAAGCTCATAGCATGTGGATCACCACCACAAATCCACCCAGAAGTGTGCGGCTGCAACAGTACTGGTAGCAACAACAGCAGCAGCAACAACAGCAACAACAACGACAACAACAACAGCAGCAGCAGCAGCGGCAGCAGCAACGGCAACGGGGCAACAGCAACAGCAACAGCAACAGCAACAGTCTGAGAATCTTGGACTTAGACAGTTGCCAAGAAGAAGTACTTTATCTCACCACATATGATCACCGCTAAGATCATAAGGAGGCAACTGAGCGATGTGACAAGTCGGCATCGTGGAAGCCAAACTCCTATGCTAAGTTAGGCTATGCTAGTGCTGATTTGGGGAAACAGGTTTTGCAGCACTTTGTCTGGTGGACGCGCATCATAGGCCATTTTTCTTTGCGACCAGGCTCCACATGCTGTAACATCAAACTTGGTGACCAAAGGCCTGACAATTGACCTGTGTGTCGACTTTGGACACAAAAATCAGGTGTCAAGGGATGCATGCAACCTTGATAGGCCATGATGTGCAAAACAACCCAGATCATGTAGACTGTAGACCCGCAAGCTGCACAGGGCAAAGAGGATGTTTGTCATCACAGAGTCAGTTTGGCAATGAGTCATTTGACAGCGGGTCAAAACATAACCCGTAGATCGACCTCCCAATTTGGAATTATATTGATACATTTGATATTCTGCTGGTGCGTGTGGAAGATCCCTGTACTCTGTTTGTTAAAGAAATGGTCGTCCCAAAATTGGAGTCAATCACCACGATCGCATTTTATTAGGTACAGTGATTAGATTAACTGGCAAGCTGCCCAGTTCCGCGTTCTGAGGCAATATTTTCCCTTTTATTGGGGACAACAAGGCGCCACACGCTCAGTGTGAGCGGAACAGTGTGGCAGGTCATAGGACTGGATTGGTGGTCTCAAGATGGGAGGGTGCTGTGGTAACGCCCTCCTGCCATTTCAATGTACATTGACTCGCGCATCGTCCAAACTTACTAGACACAAAACACACACGCACGCATGAGGGACGGCCGTCAACTGGTGTGTTAGCCCGAGATGTCAAGGCTCAAGGCCTCAACTGAAGCTCGCGAAGGCTGTGCACCTTGCATCTCTCAAACTGCCAGTGCAGGGAAAGGAGTCCCTAACCTCGCCATGATTGAAGCTGTTAACACGCTGGTTGAGCTTGCCAACATTGAAGGCGTGAAAGGGCGAATTCGCACTCTACATAAAAATACAAGGCGTGAAGGTCAGGACGGCATCATCACTGCTCGAAATCCATGGCCGGCTTATCTGCCCCCAATCTTCTGTTCCCTTTGAGAAATCTCTTTGAGTCACCACACCACCGGCACTTGTTTCCCACCATTTACCATATTTACCCGCATGCCGAAGTGGCTTGATGCCTGGTATGAATACGTAATGTGATAGCTCCCGTGCATTTGTTCGAAAAGGGATCAGGGTGACCCTTTTCGAGCAGAGGCAGAGCCAAAAAAGATTAACCTGTGTTTATATATATATATATGTACATATTTAAATTTTGTTGTGAGTGTGTGTTTCCATCGAACTCGAGTAGTAGATGATTTAGTGAGACACGTGTCACATGGTCCGATTTGGGAATGCCCAAGGAGGGATATTCCGAACCTGGAATGTGTCGGAGAGATGGAGCGGCGCAGTCGCAGCCACAAAGAATTGTTTCCTGGTATTGAGGGTTGGAGGCCATTGGGGGCAAGTGGCAGATCTCGGGGGATTGAAATTTTGTGGTCTCTTTCGGGGATTGGCGCTGACTGCGTCTTATTTTGGTGGTGCATGATGCTTTTCATCACCAGTAGTACCATGAAGAGGCATGAAGAGGCCATATCTTGTCAAAAGGTGGGGCTGGGAATCCCAACTTAGACCGTAGCCAGGTTTGTGAGTAGGAATCAGAAGTATATAGTGTGGAGCGAACCAAAACCAGCAGCCATTGGACACATTTGTTGAAACCAGACACTACTGTTTGTTTTGAGGTTCGAAATGACTTGGCACTGCACTCCCATGTATCATGCCGGCCAGATGCAGTCCTGGTACATTCTTCACGCCAGCTCTTCTTCACGACACAGGGACAGCTCCATTATGAGTTTTTTTGGTCGGATCAGTTTCAGATTGCAAGAGTTTTGGTCTCCTTGCTGACTCTCCTTGTCGATGGCAAGGCACATGAAGACTTTTCACTTGGACATTGTAGATTTGTTCCAACAGCTGTGGAACTCCAGTACAGAGCAAACATCTGGATAGTGAAGGTCCATTTCTTCACTGACATGCTCCAACCCAACTCGCTATTCCAGGTGATCCCAGGCGGTCCAACTCGTTTTCTTCTCAGGTTGCCACACCCATCGCCATACTCTCAACCGTGAGACGAAGTGCTTACCATTTGAAGAGACCCGTTCCCCTCTCAACCGATCCCACGGATCTGACAGATGGGATCCAACAGCTTGGAGATCGAACGTGGGAGATGGGACAGGAAGGCCTTTTTGACATGGCCTGACTAGACTTCTACCCGTTTGAAACCAAGCTGGTAGGTTTGCTTCCAAGGACCAAACTGTTCTGTTTCAGGATCCCATCCTCAAAATCTCAAGGCCATGTGCCGACCGCAATCGCGGTCAGTGGCTTTCATTCCATCCAAACGATGGTGGCCGCAAAAAAGAAAGGCGGCAATGGTGCGGAACATGTGCATGTCACAAGTAGTGTAAGTAGCTCCAAAGTAGAATTTGCTTGGATCTGGATTGCCCGTTTTTGTTCTGCCATGCGACCTTCAGTCTGGGAACTCCCATAGGATGTGAGTAGATGAGACCACGAGTGCCGAGCGCCGCGGGGCGAGGTACCTCCCAAGCACCTGAGCTCTGTTCCCTCAGAAGCTCACGGTCCGCACCTCAGCAGGAGATGGACCGAAGGTTGGAGTAGCGAACGACCATGACTCGTGGACTAGACTGACTGCCACACGACTCACATGACACAGTGCCGCAGTGCAGACAACAATGATGGCATGGTGCCGTAATTCTGTGTTCGAATTGTGCCGTAATTCTGTGCGCAGACGGGGTACATCGCATGATTGCTAGGCGATTCAAGTGTCATACCTGAATCAGTATCTTCATGTGAGTCATTTCTCCTTCCAACAGTAGCTATACCAGCTATACCTAGAGTAACAACATCCCAACATCCCCAGGTTCCGCTCTGCCTCTGTGTTACACGGCAGGAAACTACATCTACAGCGACCAGTTCGATGCGACGGTGCGGGCGCAGCAGGCTGAACGGATGGGACGAGCCATAGCTCGGGTGATTGGGTCCAAACGAGGCGCGGGACAAGCAATCTAGATGGCCTTTGTATGCCTTAAGACAAGCATTTGTTTTAAGGCAAGGTCCCTTTTTGCAGTGATCTCATTCATCAGCTTCAGATCGAAGAAGCGTGAAGAAGCAGAGATTTTGCTACACTGGCCCCCGGGTTTTGCGTCTTGAACGGCGGGCTTCAACTTGAGACATTTGTGACCCTTGGAGGGTGGTTTCGTGGGTCGAAGCCAGAGTCAGAGGCGTTCTCCACCAGGGCTACCAATTGATAGAGGGACCCCCACGGTCCGTCCGTCCGATTACACACATTGTATGGTTGAACCAATTGCCTAAGACAATGCAAATCAATGCAAGTAAAACCTTCAATGCGCAGAAAAGGCGCAGAACAGCGACATCGACGCAACTCTCTCGGGTCACGCCGCTGGTTCCGACTGGTCGGACCGACGAGGCTTCGGAGCTTTGGCGCGGCTTCCCGAAGAACGACCAGACCGAGTTCAACGAAGCTCGGGCGTGGTGGCCCAGTGGAAGCGGCGGGCGTCGGCCATTTTTATCGGCAAAAAAGGGCCTCTGAAGTGAGCATTGGTCGATTCGATGTCATGGGGTATGCTGGTATGCTGGGGGATGCCTCAGGATGCCTCAGGGGTGCTATGGAGGGTCCACAAAGGTCATGAGGTTCTCTTGTTTAACGAGTTTTGGATGTTGGAAGGGTGGTTTCGGATGGCTTTTGCCACACGGATTTCGCCAGTCTTCTTAATCGATCCTTGGACCACCATCGCGGCCGCTGGACTTCTGCGGTGGCCCAACGGCTGAAACAGGGTGTCCAGTCCACATGTGTATACTGTATTCTTGCTTATTCTTGGGCGTCCAACTTAGTATGACTGCTTACCCATGGCGGCCTCTGTGACAGAATCACTGTGGGCGTTGGTGGCGTTGGTGTTCCGATTTCGGCACTGTGTCTTGAGTCCACAGCTGCCACAGCCAGTCCAGCTGTAAAAAGTTCACAGTGATCCGTTCGTTGGCTGAGGTACATATGGGGCATATCATGCGAAAGTGAGGAGACTGCTGAGGTTGTTGGGATATTACAATAACCATCAATAACCTCTGAGCCAAACACCTCTTAGCTCGGACTAAGGATTTTCTACCAAGAAGACTTGCTTTGGCAGACGTCTCTTAAACATTTTGGAACATCGGCCCCTAAACCATCATAGCGAATCTCCAAAAGTACTGATGCAAATCCAACTGTCATGGCTTGATCTTTGATCAGCGTTTCACCCTGTCCGTTTCCAGCGTGGCTGCGAAGCATGCCACCCCCAAGCACCAGCGCCAGCAGGCGTTTTGGACACCAAAGTTGGGACTAAAACGGATCGGGAAAAAGGTTGCGGCGCGCAGGCAGGGGGTGGATTGCCTTTGGACAAGCCATCCAAACTTTTTTACTTCGCGTGATCCCCACCATGACATTTCAATCTGACAAATTTTCTGGCATGTATTGCCACATTATTTCATATTATTTTGGCATTCTTTCTGGCATGCCTTCTGACATTTTTTTTGACATATTTGTGGCATATTTTCTGACATTCTGTCTGGCATAATATCATCTGACAATATCTTCTGACATTCTTTCACCTGACATTCATTCGGACATTATTTCCAGCATATCTTCTGACATTCTTTCTGGCATATCTTCTGACACTCTTTCTGACACTCATTCTGGCTGGGCATTGAGGACAGGCTGGCGCAGTTGAGAAGAAGGCTTATGAAGCGGGCAGGCGGTTGATGGTGAATTCGTACAGCGCAAGTTTGATGACACAAGCTCCTCAGCTCCCAAGGTAGAGAATTTACTTTGACACAGGAAGTGGGCCGAGAGGGCTGTAATCCGTCCCGGAGGCCGTGTCACTACAGGTGCACGCTTATTGTGCAACAGAACATTTACAAGTCTGAAGAAGTCAAGGAGAGGAAGGTCAGATGGCTACACACAGCACCCCGTTGCAAGACTTTCGAGAATTTCGAGAAGGACTAGAGTCCGATAGCAGAAGGTCAAGGAGGCAAATATCTTCACAGCTTTCTTCACTGCAGTGGACCGGTTTTCACTGGAGAATCCTGAAGGCTCAACGTTTAAAGCCAGTTCAAACCTACAGGATGGCTGGGCAATGCTCTGTTTCTGGACGTCCTGCAAAGAAGGTGCCCGCCAAGCCACAGGCGCAAGGCAGTGAAGACTTCTATGGGAAGGTTGTTGTGCCCAAGGCCTGCAGAATACCCGAAAGGGCAAGGTAGGCAACAGAACAGCGTTGAGGGAAAACTGCTTTCGACCCATGGAGCTGACTCAACAAGATGGCGGGCTGGCTGTCAGTTGGGCACGTGGCGTGGAAGTCGATTCAAGCAAGCGTGGGTCAATTGAAATGGTTGAGACGGTCGTGGCCAAGACCTTTCAACTCTGGGGAACACCTCTTGGAATCCTAAACCCTACACCATAAGCCGAAGGACACCGGGTGGGAAGGACGCAAGTGAGAATCGTTGGCTTGGCTGGAAGGGGCGTCAGACAACTACAAGTCGTACGAAGAAGCAAGATGTTCCACAGAGATCGACAAGATCTTTGTGAAGTGGGACCAGCAAGAAGGAACGGGAAAATCAGCATGGGCAACTACACACCAAAGGTCAAATTTGTTGGTGCTATCAAAGATTCCGTGCATGACCTGGAGGAGAAGCGGGGTCAACGAACGCAATGGGCTGGAGGAAAGGCCAATTCTTCCACAGTTGAAGGATGCCATGGAAGATGTCCTGAGGCTGTTGGAAGCTAAAGAACCCCATTGTTTTGCGGATGCCTTTAAAAATTTGCAGGTGCGAAGCAATGAGCAGAGGTTTCTTTCAGGCACAGCCTTGGGTAGTTTTTGTTTACAAGACACAGTTGTTCGGGATACGGATGCGGCCACTGGTTTAGGCGTGTTGCAGCATTGATCAGCAGACCAGCTCAGGCATAGATGTGATTTTCAGATTTTTGTCGCCGATCCTTTGGTTGTTGCAAGCGGGCCAGAACAACAGCTTTAAAGCATCTACAACGAATCTCTGACATTATATTCATGTGGTGGGTACAGTTGGGCGTGAAGTTGAGTGGATAGGCGCATGCGTACAGATTGACGATGAGGCATTCCAAGTTAGAAGAGTGGAAAAGGGTGGCGGCCTCCAAGGATGCTTCGCTCAGCATTAGCCTTGAGGCCACAAACAACCACAGGGCCAATCGATTGTGCCCCATAGCAGCAGCTATGAGGGCGTTGAAGATCGCTTATGAGGCCACCAAGAAAAAGATCCATTGCTGGTACCACCAAGGCTAGAATGGTACAGACCTTCAGGCGGCTGCGCTTCCGCACCTCTGTGTGCATGGGAGTGGACTTCCTGAAATATTTGAGTGAGGGAGGCCGCAGTTGAGGAAATGAGGTCCGCCAAAACTATGCCATTCAGGATGCCCTAGGTGTCGGTTGGTTGCAATGGGGTGTGAGGGGAGGGTGGTAACCACCCGGGGATGCCGCGGGCGAGAAGGGTGCTCACCACCCGGCCATCCTTTCGAGACCATCGCCGCCATAATTGCACAAGAGCATTTTCTTTGCCCATGGGTGGCTTGAATCTTGTTGTTATTATGCTCTCCTTCCTTTCCTATATGTTGTTTATTCATTACTTTATTCCTTTCTTCAGACAGAAGTCTGAGCCTCCAGACACCAGAGGAAAAGCTAAGAGGGTCACAACATTGCCAAACAAATAGAATACAAGTTGCAAAGAAAAGTTGTGAAATCCTCGAAGATTTGCGCAGCCAGTTGAGTGAGGTGGTTCCCAAACATGCTCAAGTCACTCTTGGAAATCTTGCTCTTCAGGAAGTACGAGAGGTGCATGACCGAGTTCCTGCACTTGTTCATCACGCGAATGGCAACTTCGAAAAGACTATCCTCCAAAGTTGATAAGGCATGGGTTCGCCACTTGCCCATTTTCAGTTGATATTCTTTCACAGCCTCCACAGCTAAACTGTCTGGGTTCAAGTCCTTTGTCAAATCATTTCCCTTTTTTTTTTGGCTTCGATTTGTTTTTG